TTACATGTAAATTATTTAAATTAGTAAATTAAAGTTATTGTTGATTGATTATGTTCTATCAATAATTTCTAATAAATCTAATCTTTAATTCAATAATTAAACAAGATATGTGAAATAGGTATAAAATTTGAAAAATAAAATTTATTATATACAAATAGTGGTGATATAATTTAACTAATAACAAACATGATCTTTTCTTTTAATTCAAATAAACATATAATGTTACTGGTCCATAATCATTCTGTAGGAGAGATGGCCGAGTGGTTGAAGGCGTAGCATTGGAACTGCTATGAGCCAAATTTGAAGGAAACATCCTAATTTGTTTTAGAAAAGATTTGATTTTTTTCCGTCAGATTCACTTATTTACTACGAGATTTGCCTTTTTATAACGGATAAAAAGATGGAAACAAACACTACTAGAATTTGGGGTTTTTGTGACGCTAATGAAGAGTAAAAATTGTTGAAAACAAAACGAAAAACGTCACAAAAGGTAAAAAAAAAAAAAAAAAAAACTTGTTTTTTTGTGGGAAAAAATCAATTTCTACGTTATCTCACCCAAACAAACTATACATATATTTTCAAATTATTTAACCGAAATATCCATCGACACCACTAGTGCGTATATCTTTTCAAATTATTAAAAAAATCCATTTATAGATTATAAGTAAAAAAAAAAGACACTTCCTCGACATTTCCTCGACATTTCGTCAACATGTGGACATTGGGGGAAAAACGACATTCTCTCCACGTGTCGATGTCGAGGTTCTCGACACGTCGACCTGTCGACGTGTTGCTCAAAATACACGTCGACCTGTCGACGTGTTGCTCAAAATTTGAAACCCTGTTACTCACAGAAGATGTATTTCAGGAGCAGAGAGTACAACACTCTTTCGACGTGTTGCTCAAAATTTGAAACCCTGTTACTCACAGAAGATGTATTTCAGGAGCAGAGAGTACAACACCCTTTGACAGCAACTACGATGAAAAGGAACAAAGTAATGAAGAAAGAAAATGACGCAAAACTTTAATATATTTTTTATTTTTATTTTTTTAAATATATTTCATATTGTTGATCATTCAATACTTTAATATGTGAGATTTGTTTAGATTTACTTACTTATAATTTCAATATTTCTAAAAAAAATATATATATAAATATGGATATGAAAAGTTTAGAAGAAAAAGAAGAATAGAAAAACTGATTGTAATAATGTATTACTTAGAATATCATGTACGGTGCATTATAATATATATGATCCAGGAGATGAGAAAATATTGATTCTAAATTAATTGGTTTGTTGGTAGAAAAAGGTCAGAAAATTATTTAATTTTTGCAAAAGATGAAAATTCTAGACATTTTTCTAATATTCATTATACTAAAAGATTATCTAGCGGCAAAAACCGTGATAGAAATGAGATAGTTTACTCAAAGAATTTTAATAAAATTTATTGTTTTTGTCGTAAGTTATTTGGTATTACATCTAATACAGTTCAATTAGGGGATGAAAGAGTACAAGATTAATCTTAGTTCTCAACCTAGAAGTCATAAATTTAGTAATGAATCACACACATTTAATAGGAATGCTAGAGTTGATTTAACCATTAACAAAAATATTCAAGAATTAATTAATAAAGAAAAAAAAACATTGGAATAAATTATTCACAAGAATTATAGGTGTTGTTTAAAAAAAAATATATATTCTATATTAAGGTCTCTCAATCAAAGTTTGTCTAAGGTCCCATCGCACCTGGCCAGAGCATGGAAGGAAAGGGGGAGCCTCACGTAATTCCCGAACATCTGGGAGGCCTACTCAACCTGGGGGAGGGCGATCGGTTCGCTTGCCGACGACAGGCAACCGCATGAGGACATACTCTATTATGCGAAAAGTCGCGTGGATCGCTTTCGAGGCCTTACGATTGACATTCGAATGAACATGGACGGGCGCTGGTCCAACCCTCAGTAGGAGCAGAGCTTTTCTTTTATGACCCAAACATTGAGAAGGGAAGGGATAACGAGAAAGGAAGCTTTACTCACAGAAGATGGATTTTAGGAGGAGATAGTACAACACCCTTCGACAGCAACTACGATGAAAAGGAACAAAGGAACGAAGAAAGAAAAGGACGCAAGACCAATTTCAAAGGAAAGCATCCCTCGCTGAAAAAGCTTCTTTAGACCCCGACGGCTACAAAGGATCACAACTGCCGCACGACGCCATGCTACTCTGTGTGAGGAGACGCGAAAGCCTGCAAGACGACAAACAACACACGTCCTCGCAATCATTGTGGCGATATGATTGCCAACTGCCAAACCTAGCCCGCCAACGTGTTGCCCCCACTAAAATTTAGAAAAGCGATCCACGACACACGCGGACAACTCCATGCACGCACCTGCTACATCAATGCTTCCACATTAGGTTCCCATCGCAATTTCGAGTCAACCCGTCTCGAAAGCAAGACTAACTGTCGAGGGTGGAAACTAAGTCGTAGACGTGCGAAGTGTGCAGGGTGTCACAACCATATTAGGAGAGAGTAGGTTGTGACGCCCACGTAGTTTACAAGTGTCAACGACAAGCATATGTCGTCCATCTGGCCATGTCGAGGGCCGAGAGAGAAGTGTCGTGATGCGACCAAGGAGGATGGTGCATCACCTAACACACCATATGGATGTGCTCAAGAATGCCTAGAGAAGGCGTATGCAGAATGCAAGGC